CCTTAAGCCTGTACAGATCTTTCACCTCCTTAATGAAAGCTGTATTACTAGATATTTCATTTTCTTTGTGGCTATTTAAATGAGTTTGTGTTCTTGATTTTACTCTCAGCCTGGACACCGTTGGTGAATAGAAATGCTACTAATTTTTCTACATTAATTTTGTATCCTGAAGCATTACTAAAGTCATTCATCAGTTTTAGGATCTTTTGACAGGGTCTTTAGGATTTTCTTGGTATAAGAAATATATCATCAGCAAAGAGAGATAGTTTGACTACTTTTCCTATTTGGATGCCTTTTCTTTCTTTCTCTTGCCTGATTTCTCTCTAATACTTATAGTACTACCTTGAATAGGAATGGTGAGAGTAGGTATCTTGCCTTCTCCTGTTCTCAAGAGGAAAGACTCAAGCTTTTGCCCATTCAGTATGATATTTGATGTGGATTTGTCTTACATGGTTCTTATTATTTTGAGGTATGTTCCTTTGATAGATGTTGAATTTTTATTGATAGTTTTTTTCTGCCTTTGTTGAGATAACTATGTGGGTTTTGCTTTCAATTCTGTTTATGTGATGAATCATATTTATTGATTTGTCTATGTTGAATCAGCCTTGCGTTCCTGAAATGAAGCCTGCTTGATCATGATATATTAACTTTTTGATGTGCTGCTGGATTTGGTTTGTTAATATTTTGTTGAGGATTTTTGCATCTATTCCATCTTGGGAGACTGTATGCTTCCAGGAATTTATCCATTTCCTCTATATTTTCTAATTTGTTTGTTAGAGTTGCTCATAGTCTCTGGGGATCACTATTTCTGTGAGATCAGTTGTAACATCACCTTTGTCATTTCTGATTGTGCATCTGGAATGAAGCCTACTTGATCATGATGTATTCACTTTTTGATGTGTGCTGAACTTGGTTTGTTAATATTTTGTTGAGGATTTTTGCAGCTACTCAATCTTGGGAGACTTTGCCCTCCCAAGAATTTATCCATTTTCTCTATATGTTCTAATTTGTGTGTGTAGAGTTGCTCACAGTAGTCTTTGAGGATCAGTATTTCTATGGGATCAGTTGTAACATCACCTTTGCCATTTCTGAGTGTGTTTATTTGGATCTTCTCTTTCTTTTTTGTTCATCTAGCTAGGTGGGTCTATCAATTTTATTTATTCTTTCAAAGAAACAACTCTTGGTTTCATGTGATATTTTGTAAGAATTTTGCATCTCAATTTCATTCAGTTCTTCTCTAATTTTAGTGATTTCTTTTCTTCTGCTAGGTTTGGGTTTGGTTTGTTCTTTTCTCTCTATCTCTTTTAGATGCAAAGTTTGACTGCTAATTTGAGGTCTTCCAAACTTCTTGATTAAGGGGTTTAGTGCAATAAACTTACCTCTTAACACTGCTTTAGCTGTACCCCAGAGATTTTGGTAAGGTATGTTCCTATTTTATTAATTTCAAATAATTTTTTACTTCTGCCTGAATTTTGATGTTCATGCTAGAATAATTTAGAAGTAAGTTGTTTAATTTCCACGTATTTATGTAGTTTTGAGAGGCCTTCTTGATATTTCTTTTTAATTGCATTGTTTCTGATATTAAGCTATATTATTTTAATTTTTTGAATTTATTGAGACTTGATTTCTTACCTAGAATGTGGTTGATCTTGGTATATGTTCCATGTGCATATGAGAAGAATGTATATTCTGTCTTTGTTGGTTGAAGTTTTCTGTGGATATCTATTAGGTCCAATTAGTCAAGTATCAAGTTTAAGTCCAGAGTTTCTTTGTTAGTTTTCTGTCTCAGTGATCTGTAAGTAGGGTGTGAAAGTTTCCCACTATTATTGTGTGGCTGTCTAAGCCTTTTTGTAGGACAAGAGCTTGTTTTACGAATCTCGGTGCTCCAAAGTGGGGTGTGTATATATTTAGAATAGTTGGGCCTTCTTGTTGGACTGTACCCTTTGTCATTATGTAATGCCCTTCTTTTCTCCCAATAAGTCTTTTGCAGTCCAGGTAATACTCTTCTTTGTCCTTCTTAATTGTTCAAAGTCTGTTTTGTCTGATATAAAACTAGCGACTCCTGCTCTTTTATGTTTTCTATTTGCACGGTAAATATTTCTCCAACTTTTTACTTTGAGTCTGTGGATGTCATTACATGTGATATGGAGCTCTTGAAGACAGAGGATGATTGGGTCTTGTCTTTTTATCAAGCTTGCCATTGTATGTCTTTTAAGTGGGGCATTTAGCCCCTTTACACTCAGGGTTAGTATTGATGTGTGAGATTTTGATACTGTCATTGTGTTGTTATGTAAACTTATTGTGTAATTTGCCTATAGTGTTTGTGGGCCATGTGTTTAAGTGAGTATTTATGGTCGCAGGTTTTATTCCTTTGAGTTCATATTCAGCACTCCCTTAGGACCTCTTGTTAGGTTGGACTAGTTGAAATAAATTCCTTTAGCATTTGCTTGTCTGGGAAGCGTTTTACTTCTCCTTCACTTAGGAAGCTTAGTTTGACAGTGTTTGAGACTCTTGGTTGGAATTTCTTTTCTTTAAGGGTGAGAAAAATAGACCCTACCCTTGCCATCTCTTCTGGCTTGTAAGGTTTCTACTGAGAGGTTCACTGCCAGCCTAATGAGAGTGTTCTGAATGTGACTTGAATCTTCTCCTTGGCCACCTTTAAGATTTTTTCTTTTGCATTGACCATGGTGAATCTGATGACTATGTGCCTTGGGGATGGTCATCTTGCATATTATCTGGACAAGGTCTTCTGTATTTTTTGAATTTACATGTCAACCTCTCTAGAGAGATTAGAAAAATTTTTGTGGGCTATGTCCCAAATACATTTTCCAAGTTGCTTATTCTCTCTCCTTCTCTCAGAGATGACAATTAGTCATAGATTTGGTCTCTTTACATAATCTCATATTTCTAGTAGGTTGTGTTCATTTTCTTAAAACTCTTTTTTCTTTATTTTTTACTAAGTTGATTCAAAGAACCAGGCTTTGAGCTCTGAGATTCTTTCCTCAACTTGATCTATTCTGCTGTTAATACTTCTGATTGTATTATGCAATTCTTTTTTCAACTCAACAAGCTCAGTTTGGGTCTTTTATAAAATTGCTATTTCACCTTTCAGCTCTTAAATCATTTCACTGGGTTGCTTGACTTCCTTGGATTGGATTTCAACTTTCTCCTGGGTCTCCATAAGCTTCCTTGCCATCCAGTTTCTGCATTCCATGCCCGTCATTTCAGTCAGCTTGGTTAAGAGCCATTGCTGGAAAGCTAGTGGACTCGTTTAGAGATAATGGGACACTCTGGCTCTTTGAATTACCACAGTTCTTGCACTGATTCTTTCTAATCTGGGAGGGTTGATGTTCCTTTAACTGTGGTGTAAACTAATATAGTCAGTTGGCTTCGTTTCTGAAGTTTTCAGAGGGCTAAGGCTCTAAACAGAGTCTGTTGAATTCTAGTCCTGGGCCTCACCGGAAGGAAAACTGGAAGTTTTTCGTGTTGTAGTTGGGGCTGAAATCCAGTAGATGGCGCGTGAGAGCAATGGGCGGAAGCTACGCTCTCATTCTGCTACCCGGCTCCTTTGGGTATCCGGGCCTTTGAAGGCGTGCTCTGTAGTGCAAGGGGGAGAGAGGTGACCCCCCTCACCAGGTCCCCTCCTGGGTCTTGGGGGGGGTGACCTCTGATCACTGGCACTGTGGCTGCGACTTTGTTGTTGTTAGCTATTTCTGGTCGTGGGGCTCCTTCAGGCAGAGGTCCAGCAGGGAGACAGGCCCCACCCTTACCGGACCAGCCCTGTGGAGGGAGGCACGCCCAGGTTCCACAGCAGCCCACGAACCTGTGCGACTCACCCCTCTCTGACAGTTTTCTGAGAGTATGGGCTCCTCTCCTGCTCAAGCAGCGGGCCCAGTTCCGCACTCTGGAGCCACAGACCTTAGCCCTGGGACGTCCGGATCTGCTCACAGCTCCCTCCTGGGGACCCTCGGCTCTCCTATGGGGTGGTCTGGCAGGAACCCTGGGAGAGGCTGGCAGGCAGGTGGGCCTGCGGGACAGATGTGCCCTAATCCTACGGCGAAGCCCTTCTTCTCCCATTCTGTGGGTTATTGGGGCCAGAACCTCTCAGAGGGAGAACAGGGAGCCCTGGGAGATGAATGTTCTCCCCGGGCAGTGGCCAGGCTCCCCTGGAGCTGTCTCACAGACAAAGCCTCCAGCTCCGTGCCTGCTGAAGCACTTTCTCCATCTAATCTCTAGAGAGAGTCTAATGTCAGTTCAGCCGGGGAGACGGGAAGTCCTCTGCAGCTAGGATCCCAGAGGTCTGTGGCAAGAGAATAAATTGTTGTTAAAGAATTCCTCTTTGCTCTGAATTTGCATTCAGCCCACCTTTTGCATGTGACCCAGCTTCACGATCTGAGATTTGTACACAATGTACAATTTATTTGAAATATTGGAAGTTGCTTTCCTGCTATGTATTGACTTGGCATTTCTAGTTAGGTTTTCACTTCTGTTATGATCTTCAGTATGGCCCATCTTGGCCTGGATGTCAGGTGCTCCTTTCTCCCTCCTCACTCCAGGACAATATAACAATGTTCATTCAGGTTGAGTCTCCTGCTTTGGTGAGTTAAAAGACATTTTAACTCATAAGAATGTCCCTAAAAGCTGGACACTTTTTCAGGAGAGAGAGTTTCCTTCACCTGAGCATTCAAGTTGTTTGATAAGGGTGTCCCATGTCCCTCCCCTGGCCAGGTCAAGGCCACCACCAGTGACCCTCTGCTCTTTCCAGGTTGCTCCCATATATTTGGATGATTAGATGGGAAGCTGGTCCAGAGGGCAGATGCAGAGATGGAAATTTGACCCCAGCTGATGAGTCCGCATGTGACCCAGTGGTATCATCTAGGAATTTTCACACATTATGCACCGTATTTGAAATCCTGGGAATTTTTTTTCTTCTATATACTGACATAGACATTGCTTGGATTCCCTTTGCTGCTTACAAACAACAACAAACACAAAAAATATCTGTAAATACAACATTTATGTTTTCCGACTGAATTTCAAAATAAGTTGGGGCATTGGGAAAGAATTTAGTTGACTTTTGAGTGTAAACCAAGGATGTATTTCTTTGAAAAGATAAAACAAGAGGGCTGATTATCCTAAACACGAAAATCTGCACAGATTGAAATTCCCAAGATGCCCAGGAGCCCAGCCTTTGCACAACCTCCAGCACCAACATTATCTGGAAAGGGGAAAATTTTTCAAAGAAAGAGCATTAAGAAATATATTATTGGAATTATTAGAATAATAATACATTTGCTTAAATAAAACTGACAATTTTTCAAAGCACTGGTTGGCTCAATCCCAGTGATATTATGCCATTCTGTGTCAATGGCATACCTACATAGATATCTACTTTATGAATGAGTATTTAAAATTTTTTCTGGGCAGTAGATATACAATAAATATGAATTCTTCTTTATCTACCTTCCAATACTCTGAGAAATTTCCTTTGTTGTATTCATCATCATCAGTTGTCCCGACCTCTTTCACTCTGCTCTGCCACATTTAGAAATTTTGTATAAAAATGACAGTAATATCTGCAGTGGCATATGTTACCCAGATGAATCAGCGTTTTTATTCCCTGTCGTAAGTGCCTCTTCTTTCCTGTAACAATTCTATTCTAAATCCTGAGGGCATTTCTTAGTGACTTCCTTCTTACTATCTTCAAAAGATGTTCTAAGGGCCCAGAAGACTTTGTGCTACTTGAAATTCTTACATATAAAAGTATACAAGAATCCAGTCGTTTTTCACTGGCACCCAGGACTCTTTTATTCCATCCCTTTTTTTACTTGTCAGCTTCTTCACTAGTCTATGTATTCCCTGGAGACAGTTGAATTTATTTCTGTATTCCTAACATTTAGCACAATTTACACACATGGTACGTAAGTAATTCCTAAAGCAAACTGAACTGAGTACTGTACCCATTTATTTGTGTTTCACACGGCACCTAACAGAGCACCTAGCATACAGTAGCCTTCAGAAAACATTTTGTAAATGAATGACTTATTGGTACTCACGTGTTTTTTCAACCACTTCACCCTTATACAAGGGGATATGTTTGCAGAGTTTCTCAATGGGTGACCCAAACAGGAACCAATCCACATCTGTGATCAGAGACTCCAGAGGGTTGTACTTGACCCAGGTGTATTTGTTGGAGAACATGTTGTTCAGAGCCTAGATCAGTATAATGGAGAAGAACGACATAAAATAAATTGACAATATTTGGCATACCTTATTCTAAATTGTGACTATTTTTCTCATTCAGATTATTAAACAGAAAGAAGTTAGGGATCTCAAGGCATCATCTCTTTTTGAGTATTCTATCTGTGAAGTAGTCTCATTAGTAATTACCAGTGTTATTTTACCTCTGGTGGCAATGAAGCCCAAAGAAGGTAAGTTCCACTTCAAAAGTGGCACATATGAGAAGTTGTAGAGGGAGACTTAGACCTTGGGTCTCTAGCCATAGTGCCGTGTTTATATATGTTCACTATACTGTATTATTCTTTGCATCTTTGTGTCATTGAATATTACAATTTCTCTTATTAGTCTTTCAATTACTATTTCCCATAGCCCTGATCTGATAAGAGAAGTTGGTCAGTTCTTGTTATATGGAATTTATTATAAGTTCTTGTATTTAGGACTATGTGGTGGAAATCAAGCTGAAATGTACTCCTGCTCTTAAGAAATAATAAAATAAAAGTGAAAACACTTTAATAACTTTAGTAATTTGAGTATCATATTTATGGTAAGGTATGATAGTATGATCTTCTCTCTCACCCTCTTCATTTCTCCATAAACACCAGTATTGCCTGGCTTAAGAACAGAGAATACTCAAGAGTGCCCCAGAATTACCTGTCTCTCGTAGATGTACCGTTGGAGATTGTTCAGAGGAGGGGTGTTCTGATGGTCCATCTTCAGGATGAAGCAGGCTCTTCGGGAGAGCACCCTGGATGCAATGTAGCCCTGAGGCAGCAAGAGTACAGTTACTGATCTTCCCCAGTTCCCTGAGATCTGAACTTGGGGAAGAAGATGCCTAAACCTCGGAGGAAAGACTTGAACATGCACAGTGAATATATGATGGAATTGCTTTCCAATCTGCAATCAATTTTACCTACTTGACTTATTTTACACATTTTCATTTTTTCACTTGTCATTTCTACCCCTTTGAAATTGTGCAAACCCATGACTGTATTCTCCTTTTCGTGTTATAGAACGAGAGTCTGTAGTTTGAGGTTTGAAAGATTGAGAACAAGCAGTTCTCTATCTCTTTCCATTAATTTTTTTTTTTTTTTTTTGAGCCAGAGGTCTCACTCTGTTGCCCAGGCTGCAGTGCAGTGGTGCAATCTCGGCTCACTGAAGCCTCCACCTCCCTGATTCAAGCAATTCTCCTGCTTCAGCCTCCCAAGTAGCTGGGATTACAGGTGTGCACCACCACACCCAGCTAATTCTGTATTTTTAGTAGAGATGGAGTTTCACCATGTTAGCCAGGCTGTTCTGGAACTCCTGACCTCAAGTGATCCAGCCACCTTGGGCTCCCAATGTGCTAAGATTACAGGCATGAGCTACTGCACCAGGCCTCTTTCCACTAATTTTATTCTGTCTCCTCCCCAGTTTAGGGTAAATACAACATTCTTTAGCACTATGCTGTTCAATATGATAGTTAATAGCTATATGTTACTATCCAAATTTAAATTTAAATTAGATAAAATTTAAAATGCACTTCTTCTGTTACACATTTTGAGTACTCAGTAACCACAAGGGGCTGGGGGCTTCCCTACTGGAAATGCAAATCTAGAACACTTCCACCACTGCAGAAAGTTCTGTTAGACAGTGCTGCTTTAGAAACTCTCAAAAGCATACTCATAACCACACTCATGCCCCCCCCCCGCGACACACACACACGTCTCAACTATCCTCCCCTCATTTACCATCTTCTCTTCCTCTCCAGTTTTTTCCATCGCTTCACCTCAAACCCACGCTGGCTAGATAGGGATGGGTTGGAGTAAGGTGGTATTAAAAGAGCAATGGAGGGTAAAGACCCTGGGGCCAGAAGGGACCTAAGGCCACTGAGTCTTCACCTGGAATGAAAATTGTCTCTACAGAGTTCCAAGTAATGATACACTCTAGAAGGTTGTATCTAATAGAAATCATTCTGTTTCCTGTTTTTCAATTCTCACAAATTGTCAGTTCCTAAAATTCAAAAATAGACTGAGCCTGGTGACAATGGAAGAAGCTTAAAGCAAATCCTTGCCACTCTTATTTTTTAAGGACACTTTTGAGATTTCCATGAAGGTTACTTAAAAACAATTTCAGTGCCACTTCCTTTTAAACCACATCTTCTAATGACTGTATACTTTCTAATGTGGCATTGAACTGTCAACACCAATGGGGAAAAGGAATATAAAGATATTTCTAGAGGAAAAGGGACAGAAAAGCATGTTCAAAAGTCTAGTGAGAGTCTAGCCATAGTGCATAGCTCTGAACCTAGGTAGAAGCAGGTTCACAATTCATTGGTGGAACAAATGGAAAACAAATGAATAAATAAAGGATGAAAGATAAGTTTTCTGAGCCAGTTTTTGTGACTTATTCTTAATGCCAGTATCTAACACTTGAAAATAGTTTAGTGCTTTAAGTTAGCAGACTTTCTTTCTTACAGAAAAAGTATGATTTATTGTCTATTCTATGTACATAATTAAATGTGTATAGTTGCTCTAGATTTCTGCTATGTTGTGATTACTTTGTGATTGTGATTGTTCTTTTTATTCTTTTATTCTTTTTTTTTTTTTTTTTTTTTTTTTTTTTGACTCTGGATCTTGTTCTGTCACCCAGGCTAGAGTGTAGTGGTGCAATGTCAGTTCACTGCAGGCTTGACTTTCTGAGCTCTAGCAATCCTCCCACCTCAGCCTCCCGAGTAGGTGGGACCACAGGCATGCACCAACACACCTAGTTAATTTTTGTATTTTTAGTAGACATGGGGTTTTGCCATATTGCCCAGCCAGTCTCCAATTTCTAGGCTCAAATGATCCTCCTGCCTCAGCCTCCCAACGTGCTGGGATTACAAGCGTGTGCCATCATGCCCAACCGATTGTTCTTTATCGCATGATGTTCTGTGTTAGAAGCCCTATTCATTCATTTATTCACTCAACAAATGTGTATGAGGTCTGCATGCTGGGCTTTGCTTTGGGCTTTGGTTACTCTTCTCTGCACTTTCTGAGCCTGTAAGTGGGATAATAGCATCACTCTTCCAATTTCTACCTGAGAAGGTCAAGCAAATGCATATGTTTCCTGTCATATGTTTTTCTTCAAAAATTTTTTAACCAATTGCTTGATTATTAAAAGAAAAAAATGAAAGTGAGGAAATTCTTAAAGAATTACAAGGTTAAATCTAAGAATTCAAGTGTATATGTCCCATATATATATAGATCCCTCTGTGCTTTAGAAAACTAGTCCTGAAGAACACAAAAATTCATTTGCTGCTTACATGTTTATAGTCAAAAATTGTGGTAGATGAGCATGATCCTGCATGGATGTTAACAATGGCGATATTTTTTTCATTGTCAATTGTCACTGTCTCTTGAAGATTGCCACCATTGTTGTTCGGGCTGATGATGTTATAAACCTAGATTGAAAGGGAAGACAAAATGTTTTTCCTTAAATCTTATACATTTGAAAGGCAAATCTTCTGTCAAAATAAAGCCTCTACCTGCTATAACCCAGGGATTAGAAACTAAAACTCTCGACTGGGATCCCAGTCCTAAAGCTTGTGATGCCATAAGACTGCAAAGCTTTTTCTTATAGCTTACTATATTATATACAGAAGAAGCAGTGACATCACAGGAAAAATGAGACTGACCACATTTTAAAGCAATGGCTTACATTTGCAAAGTATTGTGGTTGGAGAGGAACAGCCAAGCTCATTGTTTCCACTATTGGTAATTTCTGAGATTCCATCCCAAATAAGGCACATGGCCTCTCTACTGTCTTTCAAGCTCTCTTGAACCTTCCCTTTTCTCTCCCAACATCTCCGAAAGATAAAGCCCATAAGGAACCAACTGAACCAACTGACCTCATATCCATGAGACTGTATCCCAAAGATGGTCAGCACCACCAGAAATGCCACCTGAAAAACAGACCCACCACATCCATTCTAGGGTAGTCATTAGGGTGGGGGCAGGAGGGAACACTGGACAGGAAAAGCACAGATATCTCAGAAAATGTACACCAAGAGACTGAGTGGCCACAGATGGTCAGCACTCCCTTTCCGAAGTGTGAAGCACACACATTCGCTCAGTTAACAGGCATTTGTTGAGTTCATTCTATTTGCCAGACACACAGCTCTACATTTGCCACCTAATTCCCAACTCTTTCTAGCATTATAACCATCTAGACAGTAGGAGAAACTTGGAGCAGGTGAGCAGTGAAGGACTCATTTTACTATGGAAATACCTAGGTATGATTCATATTGGCTTTGGGTAACAGTGGTCAAATTGTGTCCTCTCGTTAAAAAAATAATTAAAAAAAAAAATAAAAACACTTTAATCCCTTAAGACTGAGAGGGTAATACAGATTTAAAATGAATCATGGGTGACAAAGACACAATAGGTTCCTAAGGAAAACTATGAAAATAGAATGCTTGAGAGCACAATTAACTTTTGAGGCTGACATCAAGCAAAACTGTCATATTCTCCTACAACCCATGCCTGAGTGATACTATCCTACAAGTGCTGGGCCCACAGGTCGTCAGGCTGACACTGAGGCAGTTCTGATATTTTGCTGTAGTTATGTAAGAGTCTGCTTCAACATGCTAACCCAGGTTTTGTACCTTCTCTTCTGAACATCAGTGAACTGTACTATCACTGAAAACTACATCAGTACATGGTTTACTGTACTTTCATTGAAGACTACTGACGAAAGGAGTCTTGGGGAAGGGGGATATTTTTAAGAACTGTCAGTGGGACTTTTCTATTTCCCTTTCCATCCCACCCTGATACATCTTCTCTTACCACAGACCAGCTCTAGCAGCATATGATACTCCTGTATATTCTATTAAATGAGTCTAACATAGTGGTTTGAACAAGTAGTTCAAGGACTAAACCACCTTAATGGCATGATTAGAGAGAGCTTGGGGTGTCCTGCACCCCAAAATGATCTCCCATCCAACATCGTGGTTAATACACCATGGTTATATAATAATTTTGTGCTTCAAGTTTGGGTCTCAATTTGGAAAATCAAGAGAGCCCCAAGAGAGGGAGCTGTTAAACTCTTTAAGCCGACCGTCTTAAACATTTTAGAAAGAGGTACTTAACATTTTGCTTTCCCCTTAGCAGCTGAATGAGAATAAAGGACAGAGATTGGGGGAGCGAGTTCCATTCTAGGTCAGAACACAGCCCACTGTCCATGGGGCACTGTAGTGTGGAACTATGGAGGCTGGTATCAGATGGAGGAGTAGAGTGGCCATAGAAGGAATGTTCTGTTCTAAGGGAGAATTTAGTCGTAATGGAAGGTCATTGAAGACTGTGGCTGCTTAAATTTGCCATGATTGTGCCTGTAAGTGGGGATTAAGACAGATAAATTACATTCTAAATCCCACATTTATGGGCTTGGGAAAATCACATTCCTCTGCCTCTCAGTCTCTTTGTCTGTAAAATGGAGAGAATACTACTCAGCTCATAGGGTTTTTGCAATGAATAGATGAAATTATTCATGTGAAATGCTTAGTGTAAGGCTTAGTATGCATTCGAGAAATAAGAGGTAGTATTACTACTATTATGATATTATTTTTAAATTACCACTTCTCTGTTAGATCGCAAATGTAGTTGTTTTAAATAGCCCACATTCCCTACAAAGCTCATATTAAGGGATTATTACTAAACATCCTCCAAATCAAAGTACTGCAGATATTTCTTTGTGTTTTTTTAGTAAACATCTCAAAACAGACAAAGGACAAAAAAGTAAGACTTATTAAACATCTATTTCTGCCAAAGATATCATTAATTCAATCACATAAGCTTAGAAGCATGCACAGTATCTGTCTAAGACCTCCGAAATCCATGTCATATTAGATACAAGCATTTCCTGTAGTCACCACAAGAGTATCAAGAAGCAGAAACAAATACTCACAAGGATTTTCATTCTGCCTGAAGGAAGATGGTGCTGAAGTGTGTAAAGCTGCCCCGTCCAGCTTCTATTCTTTATATAGGCTTCAAGATGTGGCTATCTCTTTTCCAAATGATCACTTTGGAAAAAAACCATATGTCTATATCTCTGACACACCCCAGCAAACTCCTTTATCAGAACTGAGATCCAACCACATACCTGATATCAATGAAGTTCATTAGTCAGTAATGAAAATTCACCCCTTGGTCACTCTGTAAATATTTCCTGCTATCTGCACTATGCTGCCTTTGAGATTTTAATTTCCACCCTTTAAAAATATTGCAAGATGCTTGTTCTATGCACACATTTTCTAGCTCTACAAGGACAAATTCCTAACATCTCCTCCTAAAGCAAGAATGCTTCCTTAAGGCCTGAGTTGGGCCCCCACTCAATGTCTTTTCATCACTGTTCTGCTGGCTAAATTCTTCCACAGAGGAAACAGATATGAGACTGGGTTCATATCCAGTCATATCTGCTGGGGAGGCCTACTTTGAGAACAAACAACCTAGAACTTTCTTTGTTCTTCCCTTTAAATTAGTGTCAATTTCCAGAAATCCATGAGGAACAAGGCTCAGAAAGCACTCTCCCCAATTACCAGGGTTAACCAAATTTTTACATTAAGTTTCACCCAAAACTGCACAAAACTGCAAGTTAGAGAGCTCTAGTTATCTTGCAGGGTGTTAAGATTTTCAGACTAAAAAAAGAGAAAGAGAATAAAGTTTCATTTGTGTAATTTTTTTAACATGACAATTAGAAATGGCTAGCTAGTGTCAGGGTATAATCAAAAACTCATGAGAGGACATTAAAAAAACAAACAAACAAAAAACAGCAAATTGCAGCCAGGTGCAGTGGCTTATGCCTATAATCCCAGCACTTTGGAAGGCCAAGACGGGCAGATCACCTGAGGTCAGGAATTTGAGACAAGCCTGGACCACATGATAAAACCCCAACTCTACTAAAAATACAAAAAAAAAAAATTAGCTAGGTGTGGTGGTGCTCACCTGTAGTCCCAGCTACTCAGGAGGCTGAGGCAGGAGAACTGCTTGAACTCGGGAGGCAGAGGTTGCAGTGAGCCAAGATCACGTCATTGCACTCCAGCCTGGGCAATAAGAATGAAGAAGGAAAGATGGAAAGAAGAAAGAAAGGAAAGAAAGAGAAAAAGAGAAAGAAAGAAAATAAAGAATGGAGAAAGAAAGAAGGAAAGAGAGAGAGAAAGAGAGAGAAAAAGAAAGAGAAAGAAAGAAATAGGAAGAAAGGAATAGAAAGGAAGAAAGAAATAGGAAGAAAGAGTGAAAAGAAAGGAAGAAACTCACAGCCTAATAGATATCCAAAGATTCCATCATATATCATCTCTATGTGCATTCTATTTCAAGGTAAGTCATGAAATTCTAAATAATAAAGTGTATTTACATTTCTAAAATGTATATACTTATTTACACTTTATATGTGCTTGATGTGCCTTTCTGAAAATAGTAAATCAAATTGAAAGGTGTATCAATTATAAAAAAGGTTAAGTGACTATGTTTTTAGAGAAACACCCATGGCCACCACTTAAAATATTAATTTACTGGGAGGAGCTCAGTGGTGTTGAAATATGTGGGTGTGGATAAGAGAAAAGAACCTTCAGACATCCAGGGAAGTATTGGGCCAAAGAGAAAGGGGAGTTTCAAGTGGCAATTGGTGAAGATTAAATCCCTGTAATATCTTGATCTCAGTGTGCAGCAAATTGTAGGTTTTTGGTGGTTGAATAATGCCGAGTCAATTTTTCTCTATCTAATTGTAAATGAACGAGATAGTTAGCAACCTTAAAAGTTAAGCTGAGAGTGTTAAGAATGCCATAAGACAGTCTCCTCACAATTACTGAACCCCCAGTTCACACCACCTGGCTCTGCTGCTCCTCTAGGCTGGAGTGGTCTGATCCTCTCTGTCTATGTCAGTCTAACCCACAGGATTCAGCCAAGGCCTATCTGCTGCATGAAGCCTCTGTAACCACTCCAGCTAAGAGACGGCACACTCTTTTGAATGTCTGTCTCTACTGCTCATTTGGCATAAAGGAAAGAGTGCAGGCTCTAGGGTTATGTGAATTCATCACTCCATTCTTACCTGCATGTGACCTTGGATAGCTCAAAGCCTCTCAGAACCTCACTCACTTCTCATCTTCCTTTGGTGTGTCTATACTATGTGTGTGTCTTGCCTCCCATCAGGACTAGCTATGCAATTTAGAATGCTCAATGCAAAATGAAAATGTGGGAACTGTTGTTCAAAGAGCAGAGGAAAAAAGTCTTTTTCTTTGATCCATAGGTTCTCTCTTTCTCTCAACTTGTGATGGTGTTTTTATTGGCTATTTATTGTCACACACTCCCTTTGGCATAGGGATTTTTGCAAAGTAAGTGGCCCCTGCAACTCAGCATCTGGGTGTATATGTCTGACCTTAACTCTTCCCATACCTGCAGCCGTGTACCACCAGTAGAGAGAAGTAGAGGAGTGGTGATCAAGAGCCCATCCAGGGAGGTAGGCAAGCAGGACCACGTGTGAACCAACGCTCCAAGCAGGAAGAACGCAAAGGATGAAAGAGATGCTCCATTGTCCCATTAGCTCCATTTAGAAAACACAAATTCAAAAATAAAAATATTAGGATTTTCAAGATTGCAACTGGGAAGCCCTAAACCCAAGTGTGGGGCTCTCTTCCAAGTGTGGGCCCTCTGCGACTGCACTAGTCACATATCGACAAAGCCAGCCCTGCCTTTCCTATAGATATCAGGATCCTGGAGTGTGAGCATTGGTTGTTTTACATCTTTAAATCTTCTGTAGCAGTTGTGTTTAATTGGGACATGGCATTAGCTGCAGCATGCTGCATTGCTTTTAATGGGCAACATGAGAAAATGAGTAGGGGGTTGTTGGCCCAGTGACCCATTTCTGAGCAAGCAAATGGACTTTCCTGGCCTGGATGAGAGGAGTTGGCTTTTATTCAAATCCAGTGGGACCTCTGAAGCAAAAGCACACTCCAGAATGAATCCTGATGAATACGCTTTATTAAGCATTTCCAGGCATTAGACACTGGGAATGTAGGTAGGGAGAGAGCATAATTGAATAAACATGGAAACTCAAAATTCCCTGAGGCACCCCTGAGGATCCAATGTCACCATCTGAAGATGTCTTCTTTCAGAAGTGGAAAGATTGCAGATGTTTGTATTATGTTCTATGTAAGATGCAGAAAAGGAAACCAATTCTGACCAGTCGCTCTACAGAAAACTCCATGATTCACAAAACTGCTTCATTGTTCACTGGCCTTAGGGCAAGTCCTTTCCTTTGGCCTCTTCTGCCAGGGAAGCCACGGCATGGTGGCCCCGGGGTCCTCACAAGGCCCCGGCTCTAGACGTGGCTCTGCCAGCACTAGCGCTTTGGTTCCAACCACTTTGGATCTGATTCTCATCTTTCAATGAGCAGTTTAGTCATTTCCCAGGCTGACTGCTGTTATTTAATGAACACATCATCAGTACGAGTGCTTTTACACCATTATCTCTAAACCGCTTCAATATGAACACTGAACAAGGTAAAGTGTTATTATTTCTGGATTAGCCAAGAAGTAATTATAAAGCAACACGTTGCTATCACTTTGTGATTTCTATTCCTCATATGGGCTTACTTTAAATCTTTTTCAGAACAGATGTGCTTAACCAGTCTTGAGTATTCTTCAGGATGATAAATATGAAGTTATTGGGGGCCGGGCGCGGTGGCTCAAGCCTGTAATCCCAGCACTTTGGGAGGCCAAGGCAGGTGGATCACGAGGTCAAGAGATCGAGACCATCCTGGTCAACATGGTGAAACCCCGTCTCTACTAAAAATTACAAAAAATTAGCTGGGCATGGTGGCGCGCGCCTGTAATCCCAGCTACTCAGGAGGCTGAGGCAGGAGAATTGCCTGAACCCAGGAGGCGGAGGTTGCAGTGAGCAGAGATTGGTCCATTGCACTCCAGGCTGGGTAACAAGAGCAAAACTCTGTCTCAAAAAAAATGAAGTTATTGGTCAACATTTTCTTTATCTTTACTTTCATGTATTTTAGACTCTTGATGCAATTACTCAGGAGATCTTCTTTTAGCAAGATTTTTCCAAACCCCATTTACATCACTCTACCACTCCAGGTAACAACTAATCTTAAGCATAATATATCACTGTCTGCCTCTGAGGAGATCCAGAAGGTTTGGCAAATGCAATTGAACAGACATACAAGCAGCCACAGAAAGTCAGAGTTATATGTATTTTGGAAGGCAAGAGTCCCAGAGGAAACAACAAAAATATCTGCTCAGTGATGCCTTAGCAAAGTGCTCCCTCCACTCTGCTGTAATTTGAAAAGAATTTCTTCCCTATATAAAAATAATTATGTATTAAGTTTGGATTTTCTGGAACTAGAAGCTCCTCTGGCAATAACTATTAAAATGTTATTTTATATGTTTCTATGGCTATGTTTTAGATGTGTCATTCCTGGCCATAAGTACATACGGAGGCTTTGATAAGAATGTGTCACTGCTGCAAGCACCAAGGCTGTAGTCACCAGAACCATCATGAAAGTCTTAGCTGCGGGCTGGGAAACCGAGGCCAGGGAGTGGCAGAAATTTCTCCAGAGTGAAGTGTATTCAGACCTCACAATGAACCACTTGATTTGGGACCATCAAAAGGACAATCAGACTAGTGTGCAGTTTGCTCAGAAAGACAACAGTAAAGGCAAGGAGACTGAAACAGAGTCTCTGCATCAAGGGACTTCCACACTCAAACAAATAAATTATCATTTGCTGGCAAATGGACTAAGGCCAGTTGAGTCCTAACTAACAGAAAATGGAGCAAGAATGAAAAGGAAGCCAAGGTTACTAAGGGCTTCACAGGTATTAATGACCACGAGGTCAGCCCGTTAACAGGTCCATACAGAGACAGAATCTTGAGTTAGAATATTTAATGATCAAAATATGCTCTATAGGCAAACATTTCCTTCCAGTCAGAGAACAAGAAGGAATTTGCAAACTCTGATTTCTGTGACAAAGCACTTTGGTTCCAACCATTTGGGATCTGATTGACATGTTTTAATGAGCAG